CGGCTCCTTTTTCGAGGCGAAATCCGTTATGAGCTCAATTCGTGTGTATGAAAAATGTTTCTGGCCGTCACAGCCTTCGTTACGACTGGGGATTCAATTTCACACGTCGGTTGGCTTGTCTAACACAAACCATTGGTTAGGGCGCGACGGGAACAACCAGGAAATACGGAATCACTGGCTGGATACCAATAAATTAACGTTACATACGAGTGTGCCCGTGAATATATCCACTTTTTGTATTATGAACTTGATTGTAATAATTGAGGACTTCGATGACGCAGTGGTTAGCGCGTTTGATCTGTAATGTAGAAATTAACTCTCGCAAGGGCCGGTTATAACCGATGAGCATGGGTGATCAAAAATTCATCATTTCGAGCTTCATCGTGCTTCGGAAACCACGAAACGCCATCGCCACTGGATCCGCGCGATGGGTTAAGGCCCATTCTCCCTATTTGATCCGATGTAATTTATAGGTAAGGTTGTGCCTAACCAACAGTGGGGTCATTAACGGATGATGACGAGAATTTCTTGACTCGAATGCGGAGTGGTTTATGCATTTAATCTGCAAATTGGTGTTTATGTAACGTTAGCAAGGGTCGGCCATAGGACAGAAGACCAACTGATCAGTCGGAAGGCGCCTCAAGCCGCTGCTCCTAACTGGTCTTCCCAATTAGCACTGCCCCTGTACCCTTGTGAAATGTTATGACTTGTGGCTAGTAGTGGGAAATTAATAGGCTAATTTAGTATTCTTTTAATTATCGTTTTTTCTTCCATTTATTTCTATAGTAGTTTCATGGGTGTCATTAATGTTAATGATTATTTTAAAGACCGCAATGCATGGAATTAATAGCTTTCGTACCAACCCATGTCCTACAGACTTTGAAAATCGTTTTTATTGTTGTTATAATACGTACTATTATAGTAATGACATGATTTATGCAAATGTTATTACTTTTGATTAAGAGCTGGTAAGTTTCTTTCGCTTGTTCTTCTTGTCAGCGAAAAGACGTCCTGAACGAGTGGTTTGGGAAAAAAAAATTGACGATACAAAAGTGCTCGAGACAAGCTTACTTGAATTAAGAAATTTTCATTTCATTTCAATACATGTAGAAAATATACCTAAATACAAACCTAGAAGTTCTTACTATTTTAAGGATGTTAGTAAACGTAAGAGCTTAATATGGCTAGCTCATCATTATAAAAGGTTCCACTGTACTTCATAATATAGTATGTCAATAAAATGGAAAGTCAACTAACTAAGTACTTGTTTTCATATCATTTCATACCATACACCAGGTTTTTTAGATTTTGTCCACTCCATTGCGAATAATCCATTTGGTCTGAACACTTGCGTCGGTCACGTGACCACATCCGGGTATGTGTACGTGCCGTCCGGTCCCCGGGGTGGACACTAACCGATCCGGCTAGTTTCAAACACATCGTTCTACTATCATAACTATAGATATAATTCCAACCTATCGATGTTGTTTTGATTCTTACTATATTGATAGGTAACTGTGAAATTTTCATTTGTTTTTGTTTCATTACAAATAAATTATTAGGTACTACTAATACACACATAGCCAGCTAACTATGACGTCACATCAGCGTTGATATTCTGACAGGTGTATGCTCGTGAGAGTGTATGTGTGTGACCCGTAAAAACAGATGTCCATATACCTATATTATATAGAGAAACGCGTTATACGTTTAACTAAAATATATTTTAAATTATAGAAATGCTGCACATCTATTTCCTTCTCTCTTTTTAAATTGAAAAAGTCTTTCAAGTAACAATAACTCAATATCCCAGCGAAACGCCAATAGGAAGGTTAAAATAAATGGATGTAAAAGCAACGAACGGTTGTAATAAAATCAAAGAGCCTTCTAGGAACGGAAAACGGAGTGGAATCGAATCTTAGACCGCCACTGCCGCCGGGCGCCGACGCTGCGCCGCTTCCGACCAAATTAGGTTGCACGAACAAATCAACTGGAAAAATCAAGTGCTATAGACTAGATTTGAAGCCTTTGCTATTTAACACTAGTTGGGCCCGCCAACATCGTGCTGCCTTATCAAATCAATAAGATAAATAACCTAGGTTGTTCGTTGATAATAAGTTTATTGGAATATAAAATAAACTTTGACTTAACGGTAAACTTTTTACAAAACTGCCAAAAAAGTGTGTATTGTACTCTTTTTGTGCACTGCCAATCAATTGTGTAAAAAGTCACATAAAATATCGTTCGGCTATCGATTTTTACAAATTTTATTTATTGAAACCGTCAAATAAAACTACAATTTATCGTATCTTATTTATTTACATATAAAGAATAACATGAGTTTATTACAATTGTGCTAACTAAAAATTGAATTGATTACATAAATCTATCCCTAATTGTATATTCTTTCTCATGGCTCTAGGCAACATCATGACTGTCATCTACATAGTTACGCCATATATTTGTGCGGTATTATTTGTTATATGTGTTAAGATATGGATAGACTATACATATCTTTTTCTGTCCATTCAAATTGGTGAAACATTTGTTCAAATTAATTTTGATTATTAAAACATCATATAAAGGCTATAAAAAAATAATAATGCATATTGCCTATCGAATCGTCTTTTAGTTGGTTATTTGCACTCGACGGCTTAAAAGAAGTGACTCATCCTATTTTTACACGTGGGCCTTTAACGGAACTCCAATGGTATTTCAATTGATTGCATTTTTTCACTGCATTGTTCACTATTATTAATAATATCAACAGCACGTTAGTCTTATTTCTCCGTTTGATTATAAACCTTAATGCATTTCTCGTACAGGTCAAAATCGATTGAGGAAATTTGATTATGCTTGACGTGCGTATGAACAACGACGTCTTACGTCGACGTGAATCAATGATGAGAGATTCCTTTGTTATTTTACGTTATAGTGACAAGAACTGTGATCAAAAATCTGTTATTGAAACACCATTGTCGCGCCATAACTTACATTTATATTAGTAGAATTAAGCTCCAGGTGTTGGTACATACCTATTACAAAAGGAACGGATATACAATAATGAATGTGAGGCTGAGGCGTGTACAATTAACTAGGTCATTAAAAACTAATATTGTATCGGAATGACTAATTCTAAAATTGGTCCGCACTATGGCACAGTTTAATACTTAAACAAATTGATTAGAATTTCGTTTGGTCTCTCTTGTTACATTTTAAGTACTTAAAACTACTACAAACAGGTAAATAACAGTCTAAACAAGGATTAAATATGGCGTCCGCAATACGTATTTAAAATTACGCATTCTTTTCTTCTGACGTAGTTTAAAAGAGATACAAGTTATCAGATAATATGAGCTGACAAATGGCATTTGTTTTTAGTGTAACTACAATATCGGTACTCTGAAAATGAGAATCTATCTTTTGAGATAGTTTTTTGCCATATCGGAATACTAATATAATAACATACATAATAGACATCAACATTAAATGCACATAGTTATCGTATCTAAATAATTTTTATATAATACCTAAACTATGAAATCACATTGATATGGAACGACCTAAAAACACAATTATCATTATAAGTATCAAATTACAACAGAAACCATTCGCTAATGAATTTTTAATACAACATTTATATGCGTATTCATTAATTACAATGGTAGCGATTCTCTTGCACAATCTATACCAGGCTCAGATCTGTCAAATTTAGTTTTAAATAGTGAAATAACTAACTAAGGTTACAGAATTAAACTAAATATATCATAGTCTAAAGGGCTACTTGTGGCTATGGAATAACCAAGATAAAAACATGTTTTTTTTTTTAGTTTAGCTTAGAGAGTGGAACAACAGAATCGACACTGTTATTTGTGATTATACAAATTAACCAATCGGCAATTAAAACACTTAACGAGGTATGTATATAATTAACATAATTAATGCATTTTGAATAACATGTCATCGTAACTGAGTCGCCATTTTTCCTCAACCATAGCATTTCAATTTATAAGGCAAAAAATACTCTCGGCCTTCTCATTTTGAAATCTCAGAAATGTGTAATTAACAGTGCCCCAAATCTCGAAATAAAAGTAACATTATTTTTGGTTACTAATAGTCGCAACTTTGCAGTTAAATCTATTAGTTTAAGGAGACAGATTAGCACAGAATAGAAAAATGTAAAGATTGTGAAAACAACAAAGAGGGTGGACATTTTCAACAAATACATAACGATGATGCAGATATCAAATGACACGTAAATTCTCTGTAATACACTTTTAAATCTAACTTTATAGAAACACTATTATCTATAAATCACATTTTATAGAATGTATTCGAAGAATTTTATATTTTTGCGTGAAATTCTTGAGTGAATTCTTTATGAGATTCTGGACTAATAATAATCGACGGTAGCAAAGGACAAACGAACAACTACATTTTTGGTCAAATTCTTTTTTTTTGCGTAAAACACTTTAGAATAGTCTATTCTACCAAGTAATTCTTTTCATACCTGTAATATCATTATTACTTTTCGAGATTTTCTCGCGTACATAAAGATAACTTAATACCAATTTCACAAAGCAGCGATGTAAATACGGACATTTGTAGTACTCGGCATGTATTTCGGTCAAATAAAAGTTGACAGTCCGCTTTGACAAAAGGACTTTTGCTAGGTAAAGACCTAGCAAAAAGCTCCGTGACTGTTTCAGACTAAAGCTTATGATGTAGATGCGAAGGTATAAGCAGCAAGTTTCCATTTTAAAAAAAATGTTACGTGCTCACTACTATTCGTGTTAAAATAACTCATTCTACTTTAAGTGCTAGTCTTAAATTTTACAAACTTTGATATGTGCACTGAATGCGGATAAGTACATAAAAAATAGAATGTCTGCGTTAACCACTTGGTTCACAATTTTTTTATTAAGTAAGGCAAATTTGTCAAAATCTTGTTTATTATAAAAGTTATTACAATTCAAACTTTTTAAAGGTCTGTAAAATCGTATTTCTGTAAATATATATATATATATATATGCATGTTCTTTGCGGCCATCGTAATACACGTTTGATTAACATAATAAGTCTACTATAGTCACCATTTCTTCTATGTCAGTTTATTTACTGTCCATTTCTACAAAAAAATTATACATCATTGGATACCATACTTCTTATTCCGCTTCAATCTCGGTAATCATACTTGGCATTCAACATTTTGTCCTACGTGGTCGCCTTCTCCACCTTCAATGGCATAAGTTCGACTGGCGTCAAGACCTTCGGCTGAGCATGTTGAGGAAGCAGCGGTAGGTGGACCCTGGCTCCCACTCTTAGCATCCCTTTCTTAGCTACGTACATCAGTAGCAATACTGCTGCCACGAAGAAAGTTATCACCTGGAATGCAAACAGTAGGAAAATGTAATAAAGAATCAACTCAAAATTTGGTTGGTTGAAACATGTGGTAATAATGAAGGAATTGATATACAATGCGAGAGTGGAATAAACCAAAAATCCGCGAGCGTATATAAAGGGGTTTACTCTGAATATCATGCCTTTTTGTTTAAAAAAATAGGCGAAATTCAAACCAATAAAGACATTATTTTTCCAAAATAAAATCAGCTCGCTGCAGAAATTTTAATGAAGTATATTGGTTTGAGTTTAGTAACGTTACAAAAACTGACTGGCGCGGTTTTCACTTCTTCCTTTTTATGTCTTAGATAAGGAAAAAACAGTAGCAGTAACAGATTCTATTTTTTCCTCGTTAGTGTAGCATAAAGTATGCGTAGTATATCCCAAAGCAATTAATATATTAATTTTTTTAACGCTTTTGCACAAACATACAAGGCGGACGGCTTGATGCCTAAGGTATTTTCTACCAGTCTATCGAAGGTGTTATCCTTGTTACAACTAGATAAGAAAAAGATTAAATAAATTATCTATCAATGTATACATTTTAAATACATACAATGTAAAATGAATACATGAGAATAAATGCATAACATATATACGATTAAACATTAAAGAAATCTGCTTCCTCAAAAAGCATCTAAGTAACTTCGAAAGTTTCATAGCAAAATAGACTTAATAAGGAAAGAGGAATAAATGACATCATAGTGATGAGAAGGACACATGAGCAACCAGTTAGAAGCAAAAACGTACATTTTGGAGTGACTTGAGGAAAAGTATTGAAAGTGGGGTTAAAATAGGAAGGATTATTAGGTGAGTCTAGAAATGAGAAATGGATGGTAAGAGTTTGCATTTATCTGCCGAATAGGCATTTATTTTAGAAGAGATTGGTATTCCAATACATGATCTGTATGATCATGTAGATTGTAAACGAATCAATCGCAGTTATTCAGAAGACGGACAAGTTTATTGAATAGATCTGGATTCAGGTCGAGGTAGCACACATCATCATAGTCGATTATGAGAAAGATTAAGGTCTGCATAAGCATTGTTTTGATATGAGTAGAAAAGATATAATGTTAAGAATATGGCAACTTTTGTCTTGCATACTATACGATTTTACTGATTTCTAGCTGCTTTGAAGAGGTACCACTTTTCGTCTCCACGATCTTTCTTAAAGGTTCCATGGGCCTCGTTGTCATTTGAATGCCTTTATTCATCAATGGTGCTACCAGCACCTCCTTAACTTTTTTTTTCACAGGATCATGAACATTATATATCTTGTGACAATACCATGTAAAAAGAATTTTTTTTTTTCGACAAATGTGTGTTCTCTATTGAAAGCTACCAGTTAATGACCAATGCATCCTTTTAAAGCTGTTCAACATCCAAGCGCGCAAACGAACGCCTATACAGATCCTTAGGAATGGACTTTGAAGTTTAAGGATATAGGATAGGAAATTGATAACTGGAGCAATATTTTGACCGTGGGATGATACTAAGGAAGAATTAGATATAAAGTCAACCTAGGTGTCATCACCGTCTGCATTCTGGTGGGTTGGTTGAAGCGGGAAAATATGAAGGCTGGCTGGACTATAACTTTCAACTTTTCAAAATTTAGTTCAAGGTATTTCACTTCACGTAGATTGGCAAAAGTTTAACCGAAAGTTTTCCGGTGAACTATACTAGTCTATAAGCGTCCCTGCTGTAGTGGTACAGCCTTTCCCTGTAGATTGAATCAAAGAGGGAAGAAGGTACCATACCTATTACGCGGGTCCACTGGGGTTCCAGGACCAACAGCCTAACGTACCTTTTAAAGGAGAAAATATTTGATCACAAAGCCTATGCCTATGTACTTAACTCTGTATAGTAAGCTGTACCCGCTAAACGCTAAGCTATCGAAGTTTATAAGGTTATAAATCCTTGAGGTTTATAAATAACAATTATTTTTGTCGACCTTGATTTGGTTGAAGTATTTGGTAATAAGTGACATAGGTCGATGTAAACATTGCTGATAAGTTTATTGCGTCCGTTTTTCTTATCAGCTATAAGAATAGATTATAATTTGGTAAATAATATTGAAGCAAAATATCGCGTCTGCGTCGCGGAACTTGAGACCAAAAACTAGTTTTCGGTAAAATTTGGTCATGACCTATTTTTGCCCGACTACGAGGAACAAAGATAGGATTAGAATTTTGGCCGGTATGTATGTAAGAATGTTCATCTGTTCCCTTATAACTTTGAAACCACTCATCTTAACTGGACAAATGATGTATGATAAGAAGCGTCTTAGTTGTCCATTTGTATACTATATATAGGCTGTACATAATATTAAATTGGCAACAGCGCCCTTTAGAGAGCATAAAGTAAGAAACTAAAAAATATATATAACATGAAATAATTCCGTGTAGGGTATCAAATGAAAGGGCTTAATTAGCACATTTCAAATATATATATATATATATATATATAGCTTTTGCCTTCGATTTTGCTTAAACCAACCCGAAAATTAATTAAATAAAAAGCTGTAGTCTTATATATCTACACAATACATAAGCGATTTAAATACGGTTTTTATCAATATACAAAGTGATTCAAGAGAAGCTTCCGCGACATGCGAGCGGTTGTGGGTTCGAATCCCATTTGAGGGGACCGGGGCTGGTGGGTTGTTTATAATTTTTCATTAAAGATATTTATCTGTATAGCATTGTGGAAACAACATTGATCTATGTAATTTAAGTATTAGATCCTCTTTCTTACGCTCATAAATAAATTGAATATTGTACCCGCGACTTCGCCCATGTGGTACGAGGGTACTGTGTATACACTAGCCTGCTATTTTGAAGTCAAAAGCTAATCTTTATTTTAAAATTTGCTAGTAAGCATCCACCTTTATATCATTCATCATCATAGCATAGGCGGAACCAATTATGGAAAATCTACCGGTGTTTCTGTGTATAAAGAGCATGTCTTCATAGAAAAATCCAGTTGCTCTTCTTTCCATTTTAGTGTGCATTAGAATCGTATACCTTGCAAAAAATACAAACAAATGTGTTCTTTGAAATAATAGTCCTTTTATTAAAGTCATTTAATGATTAAGCCGTCATTTTGCGTCATCATCTAGATATATTGACTACATATTTTCGACTTTCGGATAAAAGTTTTCATTTTTAGGGTTTAAAAGTTGGCCTTATGCTTTGCTTGTGCAAGATTCTACGCCTGATCCTCATAGCAACGTGACGGTCAGCTTTTTCTTGCTTTCTCAATTCAGCATTTTCGGAGATTTTAGTGCGAGACGACAAATTAAATTTATTCAACAGATAGGGTAAGGATGCCGAATAAGAGATAGTCGCCAAATATGAGATAGTTAGGATTTGGCGAAACTAATCGCCGCAGCCATTTGACGCTACTGTCACTAGAAGCCACGTGGCAAAAGATCAAAACGTGTGTTAGTGCTTCCCAGTCCAAGGCGAAGTTAGGTTGTGGACACGTGGGTTTTCACGAAACCCCAAAATCAATTTTTTCCATCAAATATTTACAAGGTATATTACAACTATATTAAATACACTGAATGATTTTAATTTACCGTCATTCTATCAATTATATCATGAATTTTATGATACATATGCAGTTTTATTGCATTTTCATTACTGAGAAATAATGTGCAGTCATTTTGTTGAATGTAGATGTTTTCCTAATATGAGACATGCGAGTGCTCCCAAAATGAGATATCTCGTATTAGGATATATAAAAATATGACTATTTGAAAAGTCCTTTTTACTAGATGGGGCCGATCAAAAGGAATTCCTGGAGAAGTAACCACAGATCGATTTTTGTGTTTAAATATCTAAGATTTAGAATAATAGTTTCGACTTTTGTTGATTAATAATATTGTTTAATAAGTATGATTTGAAAATCTGTGTGATTATGATAAGTTTAATATAAATTATAACTATGTACGTTACATACATATATTAAGTCGTACTCAGACCTATTTATTTAGGAGTATGATGTTGTTAATTAGAGAATATAGCCAAAAAAAAGTTTAATTCAAATTAATTTCTTTCCTTTTTCTCCAAATCTATACTCAAACCCTAAAGAACCTAATATGAGATACTGTCTCATATTAGCAACCCTCAGTATCTCATAATAGGAGACCATTTGCCTGAGACGTAATTTCTGAACTTCTTAATATTTTTTGATATACTAGAAAATGTATTATACTCAAAACTAAACGGTCTCTTATAAATAAACTTCATTAAATACCCTATCAAATATTGCAATTTTTAAAATGATTAGTGCAATAATTTATGTTTTATAGCCAAAAATAAAAATGGTATCTCATATTCGGTATCCTTACCCTATTCTGCCATCTCTTCAATTTATTGGTATCGAACAAATCTGATTTATTCCACTCAATATTTTTTTCGTCTAATTTTTTAATTAACTCTAATACTTTGAATTTTAGTTACTATTTTAGATAAGACTTATTCCCAGCATTAGGAGCTCGTTTCAAGTATTTTATGATTTTTAGTCATTCATGATTTTCGGCAATTTAGTACATTTTTCGCAAACATAATTTAGCGCTCTTCGGTTAAGCATTAAAATATCTCGTTAATAGTAGCCGATATATTATTTTGTAGTCACGTTATCTTTTAATCAGTAGCATCAGCTAAATGTAACATTTTATATTTTCATCTTATTAATAATTCCTCATTAAACTATGTAATTGGGAAAACCGACAAATTGAAAGGGAAAGCTACTTTTTTATATAAATATTTTTTTTATATAAAAATAAAGAATATAAACATGAAAAAAATCAAAATCCAGTTTTAAAACATTATTTAATCCCGCGTAAACAACTTAAATCATTTAATTATGTATTTGGAAAAGGATGACATGGAATATAACTACAATTACAAATTGAATTGCCCTCTTAGCACTTCCACTCCCATTTCCATATATTTATGTGCTTTTATAATATGAGATAGACATATTTTGCGGCGGACATTTTTTATAACTTTTAAAGAAGATGAATTTGTCAATCTGTCATGTCATTATGTAAATATATTTGTAAATGTCATTACTCTTATTAAAGCTGGTGAGTTTCTTGCTCGTTCTTCTTATCGGCCAAAAGACGTCCTGAACGAGTGGTAGGGAAAAAATGTTGGACGATTCAAAAGTACTTTTAAGAAGTCTATTTGAATAAAGATTATTTTGACTTTGACTTTGACTTTGTCAAAAAGCTCTCAAAAAGAAAAATAATCTCCCGTTATTGCAACATTTTTTCATTGCTGCTCCACTCTTATTAGTCACAGCCTATAGCCTTCCTCGATAAATGGACTATTCAACACAAAAAATATAATTCAATTTGTTCTAGTACTTCCTGAGATTTTTAAGGTTAAAACAAACAAACTCTTCAGATTTTTAATTAGCATAGATTACTATTAGGAAATTAACTATAATAAGTAAAGATGGTTATCAATTCGACAAAACATTGTTTTTACCTTATTTATCGTCTCTAAAACTATAATATGTATGATTTAAATACTCTACGGAGTTCCCTTTGCAATCTTTGTGATATTCAAGTAAAGTAGTCTTTGCACCAAATATCATTTTGATAAAACTTTTTATCTTTCAAAAGTTATGACGTCAGTGTCCCATTAAACGTAAAATAGGATTCGATCAGTGCATTTTTAGTAAAGCATTTTTAGGTTAGCCGCATACGCAACTAAAAACCGTTTCCAGAAAATCTTCACCTGAAGTTTATTGAATTTCCTACCCTCCATTAAAGTTATAATTTAAAAGCCCATGAATGGCACGAGACAAACTCAAATTGTTACTAACGTTAAATTCAATGCGTACTTCAAAGAATAGATAATAATAAAAGATTTATTTTTATCTCCTGAACAATATAAGCAGATAGAAAATATAGTACTCGAAAGTGATATAATAATTGACAACAAAATTTTAGATTTCATTGCAATTACAATTTAAACGTTAACTTTTGATTTGTTTACAAAACACGTCAGCTAGTGACAGCGTGATCTTGACATTTCCGGTTTCTATTTGCACAGAAAATTAACAACATGTTATTTTATCTGCAATTAAAAAAAAATTTCAACATAAAAAAGAATGTACGATACTTCTTTGTGATAAGTAAACACCACGTGACAAGAAAACCAGTTAGTAAGGTAACACTTTCACTTATATACTCGTAAAGTCTCAGCTCTAAATGACTTCAAATACTTCGAATAAAACAAATTAGTATGAAACTTCTAACACTAAAGGACACAACGCGAAGACAATGGAAAGAGATCACGAGATACAATGCAAATATACAGAACTCAACCAAAGCACAAACGTCACATTATCAATACACTATCATGTTTCAACATTTAAAACGTAAACAAAGGAAAAAAACAACTTACAGCGGAAACGCCGAAGGCAGTAACAATTTCATAATTTAAAAACATCGCGAATTTATTTTATTTATCAATAAAATCAGTGTTATAACTTAAACACGTACACGCACGACAAACACACAATGGCGACTGACCGCAGGCAGACCAATAGTACAACTGACGCTGCGTATGCGCAAACTCACGTAGGTGCGACTTTATTCAATATTATGAAACTAAACCAAATGTATCATTCTACACTATACAAGTGTTGTTTTCTATAATGTTATCATGGCAAACTTGAAAGTGAAGATGCAATGTATAACAAATATTGTAAAGTTATTATAATATTTTTCGTAGTCACCTAACAAGTTACGAGTCAAAATGTTAGGTTTGTTCGTTGTGTTGAGCGGTGTAGGATATCAATACTCATTCTCATTATAAATTCATTTAGAATACTCACTTTGTTAATAATAAATAAGTATTTTAAACACGTTTTGTTATTTTACCTAATTATTTGAAGAAAATTTGAACAACTTGGATAATAGATATATATATGGACGAATTTTAAAACAAATGTGTTTAAACTGTAATATTGTGCTAAATATCTTAAATATTTATAAATTACACATGTGATGGCCTTCCTAACACATGCACATGATCATCTTGGATTTATTTATTTAAAAATAAATGCTTTTATCCTAAACCACATTTCTTGAAGAAGAAATAACAAAATTGTTTCGTCATAATCGTCTGGATGTCAAATATTTTGATTTGATTTATTTTATTTTTCTACTGTTTGGGACCTTTTTATATTTTTTATAAATATCTTCCGAACGTTAGTTGTTATATTATGCTATTAATTATTGATGTGATGTTCATGTAATAATAACATTTTAAGAGATATATTTTCATTATTAATGCGAAATAAAAATCAAATGCCGAAATTAATAAAACTATAGTAAAACAACTTTGTGTATGACTCCGAGCGGACGACACGAACAAAGGTTCTACGATGCATATCGCATCCCTGACGCAAAGTTTACGGACCCAGACACCAGGTGACTGGCGCAGGTATAGAGGAAACAAAACACGACGCTACTCTAAAGAATAAGGTCACGTAGCGGACTTCTCGACAAAGTAATAGATATTACAAATCTCTCGGAATTTACGCTGGCACATTCTAAAAGTTTAAAGTTAAATAATACGTAAATCGATTCACATTTATTTAGGAATTCATTAATATCATGTTTTCGGTAAAATTTCTATAGCGAGTTAATTAAGAAGTCTTGAACAAAGAAGTCCTAATCTAGGTTACATTTGATCAAATATCTATTATATCCCCGATATTGGATCTACCTTTACAACCGTATCGATAATAACAAATAAAAATCCTTATATACTTTTTCCATAATATTTGTAAGTAATATCGGATTATTTATGAATATTCAAATGTCCCATAAATATTATAACTTCGTTCTTTAATCATAAATAAATAATTCGTTGTATCAAAACTTAACTCCAGAAAACATATGGACTTAAAAAGAAGAAAAAAAAAGACTATATCACAATCACAATAGTTTAATATAAAAAAATCGAAATAAATGAAATATTAATTAAATATCGTGTTATACGTTGACACGTTGTCTGTAGTACGAGCGAGCGAGGCGAGCAGTCACAGCGATTCCCTCCCAAGTTTCAGCATTAATGTGCTCGATGAACTGCGGAGGTACTTGGAAGGCCCACCCGTAGCCTGGCAGCTCGAGAGTGTATGAAAAAGGTATTCCTACCGCCTACGAACAACAATGCAGTTATAGTCAACAATACCACATGTAATTTTAGCAATACTGTCCAATACCTTCAATAAATTATATTAGTAAACTCAAGGATGACAGTGATAAAAGACGATCGTTTGATGAAGGGCTTACAATTGAATTGAAGAAGACAAAAGTAATGGTTATTATTATATTTGATCCGTTTTGCATTCACAATGCTAAAAAACGAAAATGCTGAAAAATTAGAACAATTTTTCATCTTCATCGAAAGTTTAAATATTTATAAAAATACTTCCTTCCGCTGTTTGGGTGGATTGCCTGAACATTGATGAGAATACGCTCTGTAACGAAAAACTAACAAATTCTTGAAGGATTATTTAGTCCTATTAGGTTTTGGGTAGCTCATTAGTTAGAGCAGTCGCCCGGAGAGCGAAAGCTCATGGGTTCGAATCCCGTCTCAGGGTGCCAGGGAGTAAGCATTTTTAAGGGTTTAAGTATTTTTCATTAAAAAATTATAGTATTTGAAAGGGCGATACCAGAACAAATGTAAGGGTCACGGTTGATAATGTAGTGCTAAAATGAATAAATGAATTTGTATATCTTGGGTGTACTTTTAGCAGAAATAGAAGGGTCACCTGACATAAAGTTAGTGCTGGGAACAATGTAAAGAACAAATGGTGCGTCGAGAAAACTTATTGTCAGTAAAAACTTAAGTAAGAAAGCGCAACTTGCTATACACAATGCGTGCTGATCCCAACACTAACGCGTGGTAGATGAGAGTTGGGTATGTCAGAGAGAACATTCAAGTGGAATAAGTGCAGGCGAGATGCGTCTGTTGCGTAGGGTTAACGCTCGCAGACGGCCTTCGTAATGAAGAAATAAAGAGATATTCTTAATGAAAAATGCTTAAAAAATCCAATTTGTTCCTAGCACTCTGAGATTAGATTCGAACCCATGACCTTTCGCAATTCGGGTGACTGTTCTAACCACTGAACAACCGAGGACCAAACAGGACTGAGGAATTTTTTACTTTTTCGCTACTACAAAGCGTATTTATATAAAGAGAGTTTTTGCTTATGTTTGTTAGAAAATTTCATAATTTTCTTATGTCGCTCGACTAGCGCGAAGATTAAAGTGTATAATTACAGATAACGAGCGTCTGAATTATTTAAATTCCCGAGATGATTAGATAAAAGATAACTCAAACTGGAACATAGAATGCGCACTAAAGATAAATTTCTTGCCATGTAAACGAATCGCACGTCGGTTTCAATAATTCACTTGTATTTTATGCAAAAAATTTTAAACTTCAATATAGTACTTTGAAAAAAAAAACTTCTATAACCGTAAGTAACAATATAAGTTGTTTGACCAACAAATTCCAAGTCCCAATGATGGAACAATTCATTGCTATAAGAAAGTATTTTACGTAATAGTTAGGGTCTCTTTGCAGTAACCGGTGGAGGATATATAGTACAGCTAACCAGGCTCTCTTAAAATCGTCATTTGATATGTCAAAAACTTTTTTGTAGTCGATTTTAATTTATTTTAAGTATTTTTAAAGTCATAGAGAAGTACTCAGCACGTTAATGATATATAAAAAATAGGTTTTAAAGGTACACGGTCAGCCCCTCCGCTTTCTATTCATAGAGTTTTCATGACTTACCTGTCCATAATCCTGAGCACTACCAGAAGTCTGGTATAAAATTAAAGCGCTATTGCCGACTTTGTAGAATCCAGCCGCGGGCAACTTGAGAGCGTCCATAGCAGCGCCCATGCTTGCAGCGACATGATGCAAGTGGACAGCATTACTAGGCAGAGTCCTATTGCCGAAACCATACAGGATCCAGTTGCCGTGACTGTGAATATTCATGTACAGTTGTATGCGCCCGTCGTGTTCCGCCATGACGTCCCTGATGATGGCCGTTTCAGGCTCGGAGAAAGGCTCGGAGCCGGGGAATGTATCGCTACAGGGTAAACCTACTCCAACGGTGTTGAATTCTACGTCAAAGTTGCGATTAGCGTCGACTCCTATACAGGTACTGTTAAGTGCAGACCCAATAGAACGAGTCCGTCGCCATAAGCGAAACTGCAAGAGATTTATCATCATTTATTTATATATTTAATAATGGATAGAACAAGCTCTCTAATAGCAATTTATTGATTGGCATTTCGGTGCTTCAAAGGATGAATAAAAGCCTAACGATGGACATAAATTGATATTAGTGGATCTATTAGGAAACTGCATCAACCTAAGCGACGTAGCTCCAACACGACTTATGGCGAGTGGAGTGCCTGTTCTTAAACCTATTTTAAAGACATAAAGGTATGTATGTTAAGTCAGAAATACAAAGGATTATGAGGTATATTAATTTATTATTCATTTAGTTTATCTGTTTGATATAAAGAAAATATAGTTATAAACAAGATAACTATTTTATCCAATGTTCATGTATTTGATTTTATCGTCATCAAGAAACTTTTTATTTACGGCCCCACTGCCGGTCACAAGCATTCTTCATGGATGGCTCCTAATCAAATGTAATAATAAAGAGTGAATCTCTATTTAATTTCTTCTAGGAAAATATTTAATAATTCAATCGGCTAAGATGCTTAAGTTGAGAACCGGTGGCTTTTTACTATCACAGCCTTATTTCTAATATTATATTTTAAAAAAATATTTGAAAAATATTGTGTTATTACTTACATCAGTATGACTGTATTCGTATCCATCTGGATTCACGAGAGGGAGGATTATCCAGTCAATGTCATGAAGCAGGTCCCTATCTTGATCTCTTAGGTTTTCCACCAGCCTGTGAATTGTGTACAGAGCTACGGGGGTGGTGACCCACTCGCGGGCGTGGATCATGGCGTCCATGAAGTATATGGGCTTACTCTTATCTTCAAAATTTGTTGTGGAAATCTGTGAAATGAAGACTAATAGTTAAAAAGTGATTGATTCTTAAACTCTGTTGATTTCTTAATTACTCATGTCCAATATAAGGGTACTACATTTGTGAACTGATGGCATCGATGATTTGACTTTCACAAGATATAGCCTAAATTGAACAAATTGTAAGTAAATATCTGGCTCGTGAAATTACACACTGTCAAAAAATTCAGAAATGCAATAAACTTTTTACTGAGAATATATAATTCATTCTTTCAATAACAAAATCATAATATAATGTTAAGTAATATATAGAATTAATTTGATATTGGCATCGAATAACGTTATAATAATTTTTAAACTTTTTTTTATAGAAAGGCGTAATGTAATTTGTGAACTTAACTTCAAGTACTTTATGGGTCTATTTTCATAGCTGCTTCCTGCGTTGACCAATGTGACGATATCAGAGTAATCAGCGGCAATTTTCTCCAAGTATTCATCCACCTGAAAATACATAAAACCCAAAAGCAAGATAAGTTAATATATCTCTGCAAAATAAACCCGATGAAGCAGTGGCCAACCATTGCGTCAGTTCTGCGATTAGTAAGTTAGCAACATTTTCCTGAGCCGGTCGTAGGATATTTTTTTTTATTATATGTCTACAATCAGCCTCTCAGCTATAATCAGACTAGCTGGTATTCCACACTTTGTGAAACCACACATCCAATGATATGGCGTCCCTTAAATATTAAAGACCATAAAGCTCCTGTCACATTGTAGCCAGTTGACTTCTTTTAAGGCGTTTTATGTTATGACTGGTATCGAGGAGTGCCATAGCAAGTATATTTTTATGTTGTTCCAATCGGCTAACCTATGTCTAGCACGATGTCCTGATATCATCCTTAATATAGGCTATTTGCAAATATTCATGTAATTCGATGTTTTTCGTGAACCATGGCGCATTGCACAGAATTTTTAGAGCTGAATTCTGAAATCGCTGAAGTATTTCGATGTTAGAATGACTTGCTCAGCCCCAGAATTTCATTCCATATGTCCAAATGGGTTTGATTATAGATTTGTAGATGGTAATTTTATTTTCCAGACTGAGTACCGTTTGCCTTCCAATAAGCCTTTATTGATCTCGTTTGGCTTTTATGTGATCTCGCCAAGTCAGTCTCCTATCCAGATGCATTCCCAAATACTTTGCTGTTGTTTTGTGAGGCAAGACAATATCGTCAAGTGTAATGGGAGGCCAGTCCTGTTTCTTTAGCGTAAAGGTAATGTGAGTTGATTTTGAAGTACTAGCCTTTATTCTCCATTTCTTTAACCATGATCAACATCAGTCAAGTGTGTTTGAAGTTTATTTGATGCAACCTGTGGGTCCATACGAAAGTACAGCTGTGTCATCCGCGTATGTCGCTGTCACTACATAAAGAATAGGTCCCAGGACTGAATCTTGAGGAACTCCTGCTTTTATATCAGTTAGGTCTGATAAACTGTCCTGAACTCTTATTTAAAAAACGCGGTTCTCAAGATATGATTTAAGGAGCGTGTAGGCTGTATTTGGTAAACACACCTTTAGTTTATACAGCAATCCTTTATGCCAAACGCGGTCAAAAGCTTGCTGCATATCGAGTAAAACTGCAGAGCAGTATTCTTTTCTTTCCATGGCTTGTCTGATTGTGTAGGCTACTCCATGAATTTATTCTGTTGCACCATGGTATGCTCGGAAACCAAATTGATGATCGGGTAATACATTTCCATTTTCAAGTATTGGTCGAAGACGCTTCAACAAAAGTCCTTCAAACAATTTAGACAGTACTGGTAATAAACTAATAGGTCTGTATGAAGATGCTTCCGAGTTAGGTTTTCCGGTTTCAGAACCATGTTGAGGACAGAAACTTTCCAAATTAGTGGGAAATATTGCAATCGAAGTATCGTATTAAATATTATTGTTATTAGGACAATTCCTTTTCTTGGTAATTGTTTTAAAACCTCCGCAGTTATCAAATCAAATCCAGGTGCTTTTATGGCTTTAGATTTATAATATGTGTCCATACTTCTCTAGAGGTGACCAGTTCCAACGGCAAAGATATTTGGAAATCGCTACTAATAACGTCATCAATGTGAGCCTCTGAATACGACGAGTTAGGTTCATTGAGTTGAAAGACTTCCTCCATAAAGTCAGCAAATAGTTTTGCTTTTACCTCAGAGTTTTTAGCCCATCCATCATTAGGTTGTTTCAGTGGCGGTGTATGGGTCGTAGGATATGGTAACCAAACATTAATATCTCGATCACTTCCGTTTTTCATATGGCATGTTAAACCGTTGAACATAACTGCAATTGCATTCGTTGTCACCTATTATTCCGTACTGGGCCCGCTTTGTGGGTTATTTATAACCCCATTCTACCTATATATATTATACCTATATACTTTAAGATTCTATCCGTAGGTGAAACCTATGTTCCAAAATCTTAATCAATCTCCTATTAGGTTTCATCTTGCTAAACTAACATGGTTATAGAATGGTTATAGTGCAGAAAACAGCACGTCAGGATATCTATGTATTCCTGGGTATAATCTTAAATGTTCAATAATTCATCACAGCATGCGTTCTCTTGTTTAATGTTTATAACAGCTTTAATAGTATTCCACATTTTTTTATTGTTATCGTTAGCTTTAATAAGTTTATCTTTTTCATATTGTCTTTTAATTTTCCTTAATAAGTTATTGCAAAAATGTCTATATATTTTATAAGTTATTTATAGAATAGCGTTACTTTGTTCATTCTTTATTCTTCTATGCATTTTATCTCTTGTTCTTATACAACGAAGTAAACCATGTGCTCATCCATGGTTTAATTTTGAATTTATTTTTTGAGCTTCTAACAGTAAGGATGTTATCCATTACCACATTGGAAATCGAACTAATGAACAAATTTGTGGCTTTAGTTAGATCATTATTGGAAAATATAGGCTGAAAGTCAACCTCAGAACAATTATTTTTGATAGTACTCATGTTATATTTACATTTTATGCTACATATCTGACTAATGTTCGAAGCTTTCTTTTCTAAACAAAATAAAATAGCGTCATGATCCGTCACGGACGTACAAAAAATAAATATATAAGCATTTTCAGTCGTTTATACCCTCCAATCCCCTTTGGGCCAGCATGGAAGGTCATGACCTGTCCTTCTTGACCATTAGGAAGGCCTGAGCCTCTGCAGTGGGGAAATAGATAGACTATTTTCAAATTTATAACGTTTCAAGATTTTCTGATTTGTTAAATTTATTTATTGCGTTTACTTAAAAGTAATTAAATAAAATCAAAATTTTGACTATAGGTAATAAATATGTTTACGTATAATATAAAGCTTATGTTTACGTATTTTAACAAAAATCTAATAAAATATTCTTATGTGGTAAATCGTTTTTACCCTTACCTCAGCATATCGTGGATAATCCTCGAAAGGGACCATTTTTCCATTTCTACTTTTGGTCTGTCTCCACATTTGCATTTCCTCATCTTGCTTTTCTAAAGTCCTAGAAAAAGTTATTGATTTATAATTTTTATCTCTAGTCACCTTCTTAAGCGCTAAATATCGTGTTTGACCTCCTGTTTAAAGAGTCATTGATATGTTTGGTTGGATAATACCATTGAATGTGACAGGGCACGATCAAGTTTACGGTATTTCGATAATTTAAACGGACGTTGGATTATTGCACAGAATAGTACGTCAAAAATATTCTTACTTGGCAACATCGGCAATATGCAAATAATGCATAATTCCTTTACTATCCAATTGGTCCAGGGCAGAGATACGGTGTTCTGGAGCGAGCATCACCAGCGTATCCGTCTCCCCAGGGTATCCGTGCTGCCATATATCCAGATCCAAGGTTTCCTCTAGCTCATGGAGGAAGTCTTGCTCATCCCGGTTTTGTAATTTCACGCCGTGTACTGTGAAACTGATTCAAAAGCAATTATATTTGAATTGCATTTCAATTCTTTTTCTGTAACATAAGCATACGCTATTTTTTTAGACATTTATTTGATAAGGTTTGCCAACATTTGTTTACAATATTCCTTACCTATTTTACTACTATTAACTAATTGCCTCAAATGCGATTTACAAATATCAAAGTTTATCCTATGGTGTTTGGGTTTGATATTAAGAATTCCACGTTGCGACAATGACATCATGTTGAAATGAGTCAACCTTTAATCATATGAAGACAGCTGCTTTTTTGAGATGCCACAAGAATACATCAGATGCCAGATAAATCTTTTTTGAATCCGTTCTATTCTTAAAGAATTTGTTATGTAATGCGGTCTCCAAACGACACTATAGTACTTTCTTTTGTTGTAGAGATAGTAATATCTAGCGGTGGATGCAACTTATCAATTACACTATTAATATTGTGTGAGGCCTTTACGTTATATGATGATAAATTAGACAAAACCAAGTCTAAAATTATACCAGAGACATTAATTACGTTTATTAGCAAAAACATCTATTAAAGTCTGGCATTAAGAGGGAACGATATAGTCACTCGAATCACCCAACAACTTAAATTAAAATCCCCCAAAATGCCATAACTAATTCTATCTGTATTTGTCTTTTCTATAACCTTGCTACAGTTATCTATAAAATGTTCCAATATGGCACATTTGACTGGTGGTGGAAGATATATGGCACATATGACTATTGATTGATTGTTTCCGAAAGAGGTTATTCGATTATAACCCAAAGATCTTCTAAATTTGTTTTCCATCTATGCATTCTTGTTGAATTAATTCGTTTTGAAATGCCGATTAAAACAGAACCCTCCTCATTATTTGAACAAAATCTTTTTGGCGTTCTATCTTTTCTGTATACCACATATCTTCCATCGAAGAGTTCATCATTAATAATTCAAATATTCAACCAGGTTTCAACTAGAACTACATATAACATCTTTGTTATTACGATAAAAATTGTGTGTTTTAGTTCTCAAACTCCTAGTAATTTGATAATATAGGTAAATTAATTACATTTAGCTCTTTTAACTATTTACTTATTACATACAAGTACTAATCATAGGGAAAAAAAAGATTATTTAATTAAAACTTATTACTGGATGTCTTTCGGAGTATCCATATTTCGCACAATCACGTAATCAGTCTCTTCATTCTTTCTTAGAAAGACTTTACCATTTCTAACCCAGACGAATGTATACTCCTTCTCCTTGGCAGTCCGACTGTATCAACATTGTTGGAGTTCCCTATCTCAAAAGGAAAAAAGACTCTGATCGAATCACTTGCCTATCTATCAGTCCGTCCGTTTGTTAGTCAGTCAGGTAATTTGCTCTACTTTATGACACATGTGTCAGTTAATCATAGAAATAATAAAAAAATAGACTTATAAACTTCAAAATAGAATAATTAAGAGACTTTTTGGAGGTGAAATCATGAAATAAAATGTTACAAACTATATCTAAATTCGTATAGAATATAAATAGTTTGTTTGGAATAAGGAAAAATGGAAGGTCTTATTTAGAAAATTTCCTAAAATTTGTATTTCTTCAATAATTTTGTTATAAAAAATCTGCCATCATTTATAAAATAGCGAATAATCTTACCCAGAATACACATCATGTTTTCCAGCAAATACTGTGTAAGACAAGAAATTAATTAATAATACAAAACGATACATTTTTAACACTATCCTACGAACGAATGGAGTACAATTATAATAACGCGGTATTACAGTTTTATCTACAATATATTTATTGATAGATTTCACGAAAGATACTTTATCATTGATAAGTTAAATAATTGTTTGATTAGATTGTACTAGCAAGAATTACTTTTATATGTCCAGAGGTCGTACTAATTATGGCATTTGTTCTAGCCATTACTGACGGATTTATTCGTAACTAGATATAACTAAGAGTTTTTCATCATAAAATCTATGATAGTCGCCTCCTAGAATTGGTCCATCCGAAACTTATTTAATCTCCGCACAGACCACACTAACCACTGCGCCATCGAGTGCCATAAATTTCATTTTATCATACATAAACCTAATAATATTTTACTAAACAGTCTTATCTAAATTCATCCACAAGCTGCGACTTTAAAGTCTCCTTTGAAGTGGGAATAAACAAGATATAATTTCTAACAAACAACTTCACAACAACAACTAACGAATACCAGTAAACGAGTAGAGATACTGTTCGAAACAATAAAACTGGGAAACGGGAACACGGGATAGACCGGGATGCAGTTGTTATTGTTAGAGACGCTGACCGTAAGGCAAGTCCGATGAAATTATTACTTTATAACAAGTTGGAGTAACTAACTACGAGTAGGTAATAAGCAAGATAATTTTGAATGAAAACTAATTAACCAGAAAATAGAAAGATGAAGTCCAGGGAACCCAGTAGTACTCATCTACGATCTGAATTATCGCTTATTATCAAAGAATGTGACGTCAAAAGTTAAAAGAACCTGCGAACATTTATAAAACAAGAAATTAACGTCAAGGAAGAACAAAATAAAACGTGTATACTGTACAAGAGATCCAATGGTTGGTGGAGATATAAAAGTAGTATTAAGAAAATTCTTAGAAATAATAATAAGCACAAGATGGGAGTCCTTCGTCCAAAAGTGGACTTAATTCGGCTGATTTGATAATGGTGAGCAAAGAGATCAGACATTATACAAATAGTATAAGATTATGATTTAAGTCTCAGGGGTGGAGCGCATATCGAAGGGTTTCCTTATTAGTAAAACGAAGAAATCGTTTATCCAAATGCTAGGTAAGATCTTTTCGTCCTCTTTCATTTAAAATGACAATCCAGTTTTACTCTACTGTAAGTCTAGTTTTCAACTGTCCAAGCGAATGAAAATGTTTCAGATAAAAAGATCATGGCTCGAGTAACAAGTTCAAATCCGACAAACAATTCCCTGGAGCTTTGTCCGGAGAATATCCGTAGTTAAGCAGTAATTCGTAACCTTTTGTATCTATTATCTGTAACTTTAGGTATTACTTAAGGTATTAGGAACATTCAACAAAAAGTCATTTGTACATTATTCAGTAATTTGTAATCCGATAGCAACTTTTGGAGTGGCCAGACATCAGATGGATGATCAACTATAGTCATAGTATCAGAGTTAAAACTGCAACATTTTCAGCTACTGGGAGCATGTTTTTTATTTTATTTATTTACTAGGTAACACAACAGATATTAATCAAAATATATGTGTATAATAGGTAACAACTGTATAGTACTAAATTAATATCCTAAAGATGTTTACACAAAAAGATATGGTAAAGTTTTTTTTTTTACTAAAATAAAAAACAGAAAGGAGAAGTATAATATCAATCTATATGATTAAAAAGATGCGACATTAGCTTGACAAATTTAGGAGTTATATTGCTAGTTTAACCTTACATAACATATTTTGTTCTGCCGATCCGAGCATAACGTATGACAATTTTTTTGATGTTATACTGTTTTGCAACTATAAAGTGTAAGCCTATTATTATTATAGTTATACTTATTAATTTATAGATTAATAAAGAAATACTTCTAGAATGATGATGAATGTAATTAATAAGTGTAGTGTTGACTTGATAATGTAATTGAAGAAATGTTACTATTTAAAACACGTAATTTCCACAATCGCACATATTCATGTATTTGTATTCGTAAACAGTACAGATTATTATTACTTATTGTATTTTATTAATATTATTACAAATGAAAGATTAATATTGATCACTGCGTATTAAAAGTATGATATTGATATAAGTATGCATGTAATGTTACAAAAGGGTACTAATTATGAAAAGTAATTTCTGATGTCGTTCAACTATATGTTTGTGTATTTCTAAAAGGTAATGGTGATTAAACAAAGTCAATTTAATAATTTACAAACTTAAATGTACGAAACTCAAAAATTAGAACATTGTTTTTTTTTATGGGATAGGGGGCAGACGAGCAGACGGATCACCTGATGGTAAGTGATTACCGTCGCCCATGAACACCTGCAACACCAGAGGGGCTACAAGTGCGCTGCCGGCCTTTGAGGGACGAATATGATCATAGGGAGGGAAGGGTCGAGGGGTAGAGGGAAGGGATTAGGGAGGGGTTGGGCCTCCAGTACCCTCACTCACACGACGAAACACAACGCAAGCGTTGCTTCACGTCGGTTTTCTGTGAGGCCGTGGTATCACTCCGGTCGAGCCGGCCCATTCATACCGAAACGACATCTTGCAAAAAACTATGACAGTATTGTTTTTTATTGTTGGCAATAGAATAAAAGATGGCAGAAATGTAACGCCAATGAACGGCGAATTGATGTATCGCCCCAATAAAACAAATTTGATTCAATTTACACTACGGAAGAATACTCGAAATTTATTTATGTTAACAAAGTTATTAATGAAACTAAAGTTGCTAAATTTCTAGGTATTTTAATAGATGGTAATATTTCATCTAATCACACTCACCGAGGTATGCCAGAAATTATACAAGTTTTCATTTAAATTGTACAAATATCAAAAATAGTTGACCAAAAAACTGTACTAACGGAGTATCATGGTTTCATAGCGTCAACGTTACGGTATGGCATTATTTTTCGGGGACTTTTAGCCTACAGAGAAGTATTGTTGTGGGCCCAAAAACAATGTATTACAGCAATTTGTGGATTGAAGCCAACGGAGAGCTGCAAACCATATTTTAGGTCTTTGAATATATTAACTTTACTGTGCTTGTATGTACGAGTATCAGAATGCTGTATTTTTGTAAAGAAAAATACAAAGCTATTCAAAATTAAGGAACAAGATCAATGCACACTTCATCCTCGGAAACCCTAAATCTGTACAAGTATTTGTAAAACAGCTCTAATGAAGAAAAACGTCATTGAAATATGGCTCCTAGATTGTATAATAAGCTTCCTGAACAAATATGACTAAATTTAAAAATGCATTTATTAAACTATCAGTAGATAAATGTTATTATAATATTAATGAATATTTTTGTATAATGTTTTACAATAAATATAATATGTGTAATAAAATTTAGTATAGAATATTTCATAACTTCAGA